CCAATTTAGAACCAGTCAGTTGTTTCATGTCTGATTCTAACTGTTGCTTCTTGACCCACATACAGGTTTCTCAGGAGGCAGGTAAGGTGATCTGATATTCCCAACTCTTTAAGAATTTTCCAGTTTGCTGTGATCCACACAGTTAAAGGCTTTAGCATAGTCAATAAAGCAGAAGTAGTATATACATACATATATATAAATTCATAGAACACACACATATATGTTATATATTATATAATTATACATTATATAATATATATACTACACATATATATCAATATATATATCAATATAAAGCGGATGTATGTATATATATATACACACACATACATATACATCATAGAGACATACATATATATACACCTGTGTGTAGAGAGAGAGAGATTACGTGTATTTGTGTATGTAGGTAAAGGCATCTGAGCCAAGTCTCAAGGCTGGCTGTGAACAAGCCTGGTTTCAATAAACTGTCAAGTCCGCAGGCAGAAGCAGGATGAACACACTGCACGCGGAGAACAGTGAGGGGTGGGTTGCGGGGCACGCAGGGCAGGGGGAGGGCGGGCGGCAGGCTGGAAGATGAGAAGTCCCCAGCCAGACCCATCTGCTGAGCGAAGGCACAGGATCNACAGGGGGCCGCAAAGGGTCGGATATCACTGCGCGACTTGGCCCAGCCCCACGCAGGGGAGTGTGCACCGGGGCTGGGGGGCGTGGGAGCGGGGCGGTGGGAGCGGGGTGGCGGGGATTGGAACTACAGACAGAAGAGGGGAGGGGAGGACAGGGAGGCAGCCTCAGAGACTGGGCCCCGGGGTCCCGCCATCAGCCGCGGGCCCCACCCCCACCCTACCTCTGGGCTGTCAGATCCGTGGAGACCTGGCTGCTGACGTCACTATGGGAGGACAAGGCGGCTAAGATTGGGTTTTCCAGGTCTTCAAGGGCAGCTGGCTGGATGACATAATCTGGTACAAGTGAACTGGGGAGAGGAGAAAACCAAGGCTCGGAGAAAACCAAGGCTCAGAAACGTTCCTGAACATCTTCAATGTGTCTCAACTGCACGTTTTCTCTGGGTCTCACGCAGGGCTTCAGTTTCCCTTCCTACAGAGGAAGGAGCTGGGCTATTCCAAGCATGGCCCATGGCTGTGCTGATCCAGGAGGGGTTGGTTACTGCTCCTCGAAGACACAGCACACACACACCCGGGGTAAGAGGCCTTTATTTTTTATTTTTATTTTTTCCGAGAGGCCTTTAAAGGAACACGCTATTCATTCTGTCTGTTGACTCCAATAATGGAAGTCAGGGCTTGTCTTTTATAGGTTTGATGGGCGGTTCTCAACCAGGGGTGACTTTTGCCAACCAGGGGACATTTGGCAACATCCAAAGACAATTCTGGTCATCACTACCAGAGGGCCAGGTGCAGCTGGCATCCAGGAATGCTGCTGAATAGCTTACAATGCACAGGGCAGACCCACAAGAAAGAATTATCTGGCCCCAGATGTCAGCATGCCAGGGTTGAGAAACCCTGGCCTTGAGCTCTGTTTTGCTTTCTAGTAATTCATTTAAATATATTTTCAAAAGTTTAGACCTTAAAGTGAGTTAGAAATTTAAAACTACACTGGCCCTTTGTCCACTGAGAAGGTTGGCATTAAACAACCTCCAAGAGCAGGCTGGCTTTGAAAGTTCAGAGGGACACTGGACACTGTCGCTGGTCACACACATCCTTCTAGTTTTCTGGGAACCCCCTTCCATGACCAGTTATGTCTTAGCTTATCAGGAAGGGTCATTAGTTCTTTCTGATGAACTTGGCTCTGTAGCAGTCAATAACGAGACCATTCCTTCAGTCCTTGAGCAGACACTGACTGAATAACAGCTATGTTATTACAACCGCCCTGTAAGGTGGTCCCTGCCCTCATGGAGCTTACAGTCTCAGGCAACAGCCAAACTTTTAAAAAAAAAATTTTTTTTAAATGCTTATCACTGTTTCGGAGAAGGCAATGGCACCCCACTCCAGTACGCTTGCCTGGAAAATCCCATGGACGGAGGAGCCTGGTGGGCTGCAGTTCATGGGGTCGCTGCGAGTCGGACACGACTGAGCGACTTCACTTTCACTTTTCGCTTCCCTGCATTGGAGAAGGAAATGGCAACCCACTCCAATGTTCCTGCCTGGAGAATCCCAGGGACGGGGGAGCCTGGTGGGCTGCTGTCTATGGGGTCGCACAGAGTCAGACACGACTGAAGCGACTTAGCAGCAGCAGCATAATTCACTGTTCACAACAGCCAAGACATGGAAGCAACCTAAATGTCCATCAACAGAGGAATGGATAAAGAAGATGTGATACATATATACGGGGAATATTACTCAGCCATTAAAAAGAATGAAATAATGCCATTTGCAGCAACATGATGAACCTAGAGAGTTTCACAGAATTAAGTCAGACAGAGAAGGAGAAATATCACATGACATTGCTTATCTGCGGAATCTAAAAAGAAATTATACAAATGGGCTTACTTACAAAACAGAAAGAGACTCACAGACTTAGAACAGACTTAGAAAAGAAACTTATGGTAAACAGGGGGAAGGGATAGTTAGGGACTGTGGGAGGTCATGTACACAATGCTATATTTAAAATGGATGACCAGTAAAGACCTATTGTATAGCATATGGAACTCTGTTCAATGTTATGTGCTAGCCTGGATGGGAGAGAGGTTTGGGGGAGAAGAGATACATGTGTATGTATGGCTGAGTCCCTCTGCTGTTCACCTTAAACTACCACAACATCGTTAATCGGCTATACCCCAATACAAGATGTTTTTGGTGTTAAAAATAATAATAATAATTTTAAAAACAAAATAAAAATACTTATTTATCCAGTAAAACTGTTGTAACTGCTAAGACGGAAAAATACAAATGGCTAAGAAAACATAAACTAGGAAGTCCCAGCCCAGAGTGGGGATCAGGGAAAATGTCTTTGTAACGTTACAAGCTGAGGCCAGCCATCAGCTCAGTGACAGCTAATGTTTACTGACACGTGCTATGTGCCAGGAACTAAGATCTAAGTGTTCACAGCCATCACCATAGTCAATGCTCACAACCACCCTGTGAGCTGGGTATTATCATTATTCCCATTTTACAGATGAGGAAACTAACGCACAGAGAAATTTGCCCAAGGTTGCACAGCTGGTAAAAGGCAGAACCAGGATACAAACCCAAGCCAGACGCCAGGAGCCATGCCCCTAACCGCCCCACTGGGTTATGTCCAAAGGCGGAAGAGTAAGGGAAGGAACCCCGGCAGCAGAGGGAGCCGCAGATCTGAAAGCCCGGTCCAGGAAGGAGCGGGGTGTTCTGGAGCAGTGGGGAATGGCCACTGCAGCTGGAGCACAAATCAAGACCTCCAGGAAGCGGACAGGAGGGCCAGAGCCAGACCACAAGGCCAGGGCAAGGGGCTGGGACTCAATCTTAAGCTGAAGAATTAGCCCAAAGCCTCAAATGCTCAGCCCCAAAGTGCTTCCCTTGGCATCGAGACGAAAGAGAGGCAGGGAGGCCCAGGGTGAGCGTTCCGAAACTATGTTCTAAATATGACCGGACTGGCACACACTTGTGCCCACACCTTTCTATTTACTCCCATGGATCTCGTGACACTTCCTTCTTCCTTCATGGTTCCCACCCACCATCCCAAGCCCTCTGACCCTGGAGCCCTGTGATGACTACACTCGAGGAGTCAGAGGGAGATGGACAGAGAGGGAAGTGAAGGAAGGGGCGGGCCTGGAGAAGGAGGCCCGCAGGGGCTCAGGATGTCTCTGCTGGACCACGGTTCAGAGAATCCTTAACCACAGGCAATATCGGCCTTCCAAAGTCATAAAACCTGAGTGGAAAAACACGGCTCAGGAGTTCTGGCAACACACCCCAAAAGCCATAAAAGACTGTTTCTTTGGACACAACCATTCTACTTTCAAGAATTTATTCTAAGGAGATGATTAAGGCTGTGAGCAAAGATGCCAATCACAGCTGTGACCACAATAGGGAAAAAAAAAAAAGAAATAACAAGAATGTCCACACTAGGGGACAGTTAGTCAAGTTGAAGCACAGTCACAGAATGGACTCATTTGCAGCCATGTGAAAAAAAAAGGTTAAAAAATTGAAAATTAATTTAAAAAAATTTTTAAAGAAGGTAGATCTCCATGTATTCAAAAATAAAGACATCCATTATCAACTAAAAATAGGTTAGAAAACTACTGGCAGCATGATCCGGACTTTATGCACATGTGTGTATGAATATATATGCATCTGTGTGTATGTGTACACACATATATGTAGGTATAAACACCCACACAGGAAGCGACCGGCAGTGAACCAACCAAGCAATGTCGACAGATACATCAAGGGGTTAACTTTAATTCTATTTCAGCAGTCAAGTTAGCAGTGTTTCTTTTCTTTTTTGTTGAGTTTATTTCTGTTTTCTAGTTCTATTCTGAACACATGCAGCTTTTATAAGCAAAAGAAATAAGAAAGCATCCTTGAGGAAAATTTCGAGTGTCAGGGAGCAACTTCAATTCATAGCTCAGTGAAAAAATCTCAGAGACGGGACAAGCAGAGCAACGCTTGTAAACTCACACCTACAGTGATTTCTCTACTCACACCTCCCCTCCCGGGGAGGACCCAGGCTTAGCCAGCCTCATCCCGGGACAGAAACCCAGCCACGCCCCTCTCAACAGACACCACTGGGGAAAATTAAGGTCCCGGTGGAGAATCTGTCCGATAACAGTATCTCCCCGCACAGTCTATGAGATGGCATTTTAACTTTTGGGGATGGAATTAATTTTCAAAGCATGCTGGACAATTGCTCAACGTTGTTGTTTTTTTTTTTTTTTTTGAACAGAAAATCCTCACTATAATTAAACACTTTGTCAATGACACGTGATCAGCGTCTTGAGCGACTATGATGTAAGTGGGGAGGTATGCCGTGGCCCTAAAACACAATTGTATACGGAGTCAGGAGGGCTGGATTCTAGACCAGCCCCACCTTGGGATCTCAGCCAGGTGACTCCCCTGAGCTTAACTTTTCCATGTGTAAAAGAGAAGGCCCTGAACGGCACCACGGCCAAGGACTCTGCAAACTCAGGCTGGTCTCTCCCTCACAGGCTGAGCCAGCCGTCTGCCTCCACCACCTCACCTGACTATCTTTTTACTTTGTGCCTTCCAATTCTCTGCTCCTAATGTACTGCAGATGAAAGGGCACTAGAATAGTGTGCAAATCAAGAGTTAACAGGCTTGGGTGAAGGCTTATGGGCCTCCCACGTTGTTGCGCACTCGCTCAGTCATGTCCGACTCTTTGTGACCCCCTGGGCCTCAGCACACCAGGCTCCCCTGTCCTTCAGTATCTCCCAGAGTTTGCTCAAATTCATGCGCATTGAGTCAGTGATGCCATCCAACCATCATCCTCTGTCACCCGCTGCTCCCCCTCAATCTTTCCGAGCATCAGGGTCTTTTCCAATGAGTCGGCTCTTCGCATCAGGTGGCCAAAATATTGGAGCTTCAGCTTTAGCATCAGTCTTTCCGATGAATATTCAGGGTTTATTTAAATATAAATATGTATATACGTGTGTATATACATAGTCAACTGAACCACGTGAGATTGTTAAAAGCAAAAACCCATCAAATTCACACTGCACCATCAGCCCCAGGATCTTCCGGTCTTACTTCGCAGGGATCGGTCATGCCCCAGATGGCTTAAGGACAGGGGAGGGCTGACTTATGAGGATGGAGGGGAATTCTTCTCAGACCAACTGTAAGTGGCTATAAATGGCTTTCAAATTTTACAAGTGGTGGAGATGGGACCAGAGTGTCTGAAATATTTTTCAGAGGAGAAAAAAAAAAATCTGTTAGAGATTTTAACTGCCAGCTGCTGCCACCAGCTGCTGGGGCCAACCCTTTATAAATTTAGTCAGGCCAGCAAAGGGTTGATTTTCCAGTGGAATGT